TCCAAATCCTGAGCAACCAGGCCTACCCGCCTCCGTGTCACCCAAAGGTAAAACCGCAGACCACTGTTGATGTGTCCTGCCCCGCGCACAGTTTCGTGCGTTGCAATCGTAAGCTTAAATAATGGAATTCCTAGCATTTTCTTCTGTAAAATATATTGCTCAGATCACTTAAACCAGCTAAGGTCACTCATAGAAGTGATGTCCTTTAGGAAGTGATGTCTCCGGGGTTGTCGCTAGTGCAGTAGTAAAGTCGTAACTAAAATATTATTTTCCCAGATTGTCTATTCCAGTCGCCTTTCCAATGCACTGAAGACTCCCCTACCCCGTTCTTGATTTCTGGGCTACCTCGCTAGGTTTCACACACAAAAAGAGAAACGTGCCAAATGTACAACTTCAGAGCACCGGGTTTTTTCAGAACTCCAGCACCAGATCAGCCAAGCTTCTTCCCCCAGCAGACCGGCCACCCCACACACCCCTGCTCCCTGTGGTAATTAATACCCCATGGTAATGAATATAATTTTCCTTACCTTCCAGTGAATTGCAGATAACTTCAGACAATTTAAAAAGTAGATAACCCAGGACAAGGGGCCCCTGTGACATACCCTAAAAGAGGCTTTAAGGAATTGTATTAATCTCAGAAGTCAGGTAGCAAATTATTTAAAAGGAGCCACAATATCTCTAACCTTAGACCTATTGAGGCAGCAGTTGTTCCCTGGAGAAAAAACTTCTTTAAGTATTTTTAAATTCTCAATTAACTTTTTTTCTGTTTTTGCCCAGAGGCGACATGTGTACCCCATGGCCTAAAAAGGTATACATTTGAGCTAGTGGTAACTAATTTTAAGTAGTTTTAAAAATAGATAACTACTGCCTCAAAAGGTGACAATACTTTCCTTGCTATTGAAACTTTCAGGAATGAGTACTTGGCCTTGCCATACCCCCCTGCATTCCTTCATGTGTGAAGTAGTTTTTCTAAATAAACTCATAAAGGACATCTCCTAAGAACTTACCATGAACATTCTTTGCCAGTGAAAAGGCTATTCTTCTGGTGTATTGTCTTCACCACTGGCTACTCTCATTGAAGAAACATCTCTTGTTTCTTTCAAGTTAGGTGTGTGACAGATCAATAAAATGAGATTTCACCCAGGCCTTGCAATGGAAGGCCCACATTCAATTTTCTGATTCTTTCCAAATATTCCAGGATTTGGCAATTTATGCATAACATATCCTTATACATGTATTTTCCAGTTTCTGTCCCAAAATTGTTTGTATCCTAGAAAAGATTTCAAAGTTATTCAAAGGCAGTGATTAAAATAATGAAATGATTGAATACCAGAAAATGTTTTGGTAAATAATAATTCTGGCTTAAAATTATGTGCATCTTGTCCAGTTTAGTTAGTATCTTTGCTCCTATTATCTGTGTGTGTTTTTATTATGTAGAAGGTAGGAGGGTGGACTTCGGTGGTAGGTGAACAACAAAGCCAGAGTATATTTTTACATTTCACTTTAAGGTGGACTGAAACTTCAACAAGCCAGATTTCAGCTGCAACAAAGCCTGCCTTTCCAATTTTGAAGCTCATAAATGTTCTATAATGGACATTTTCTCTGATTTTTGAAATTTTCTTTCTTGATTCTACAAATACACATCAACTGCCTGTGCAACCAAGTATAAAGAGAAACAGCTAAAATTTGAATATTTAATTTTATTTACTGTAGGGTGTTTTGCTCATGCTATTTTTTGTATATCTCTTATGTGGGTAAATTATCAGATAGCACAGTGAGATCGGAGTTACATAGTCTATAATGCATTGTGGGTTTGGGAACCTAATTTCTTCTTTATTGAAAATTGATAAACTAGGAAGTTTCATATCTTTGCATTGATTCTCTTATTTAAAATATATTTCTTTTATCTACATTGTACTTTCCTCTTCTTTATCTTACATCAATTTTTCCAGTTCTTTCAAGATCTACCTTCTCAAAAAGACCTTCTTTGGTTAATTTTACACCATCCTGGAATGGTTATCTTTCTTTTTCCTTCCCTAAACATCTATGCACACAGGGTGCTAGCCATCTCCACATCTTCATGTATCCCCTTATTTACCTTCACCCAAATTGAAAGTTCTGTATATGCAGGGGTCTTTTTTTCCATGTCTATGAAACAGAAACCACCAAATGGCATGAGATTCATAAAGACTAATTCATAAAGTAAATACATGAATTGAAGAGTATCCTTTGAAGAATTTGGAGGATCTAGATGAGACTTCAAAGGCAGCTTAGATAACACTCCTGACATTTTGTATTAAACACCAACAACAATAAAGCAATTGACAAAGCTTACATTCATATGACTATACATATTTATACTTTCTCTCCTACCCAAGAAATGAAGAATGGAACAAATTCTGGAACTTTTCTCACTTGAACTATGACTTAATGGTAAGTTTTGTTTACTATTTCTTTGGTAATTTTAAAGAGCTGGAAGTTTTTAAAAGAATGACTAGAAAGTTATTTCATTAATGTAGGTGAACGTGAAATTGTAAGCCTAAAGATTCAATTCTTGTTGCCACATAAGAATCACTTGGGAGAGATGAATAAATTAATCGGTATTTGTAAACTATGTCTAAGTTGAAACACTTAGAAGGGCATTAAGTTAATTATTTTTTGAAGATGAACCTCCCAGGTAGAAAGGGTTATAAATATTTCCTTTATTATTATTATTATTTGTTTGTTCTAACTCAGTTAACTACTCTCTGGTGTCAACAAACGATCATTATATCAGGTATGGAAAGAAACAATTTTCAAAAGAACCACCATCTGAATTACAAATTACCCACAATATTTTAAGTTTAATGACCAATGCCACTTTCCATTTAATATGTATTATTAAAGCATATAAAAAAGCTTGGTGCAAATGGTAGGTATTCAGTTCATGTTTATGAACTAAACTAATTTTTCTTTTGTTTTTAATGATTTTCTATTCCTTGTCCCACTTGGCTAGCCAGTTACCCAGTGAGCTATTTTCCCAGTTTTTCAGATGAAGAAAATAGAAGTCTGCACAGTGTCACAAAAGTAATAAATCTGAGTCCTAGACTGAAAATTCTCTATTTTTTTTCTGTTAAAGTACTGGAGGAGAGAATACAAATGCTTTATTACATGTGTCTCATTGTTTTCTATTTTTAATAACACTGTAGAAAAATAAGTGTCTAATAATAGTTTCTAGCCTAAGAAATTATAAAGCATATAAATATCACAACATTCACTCTCAACTGAAAAAATTGACTTTTTATCAATCACAATTTTCCCTCAATTTTTCTCTATGTAATCATTTATGTAAAGGTCTTTAGAAATGTTTGGAAGCAATTTCAAAACACAGATATAAAAATAAAGAGGTAAGAATAGTATCAATTTAAATGTTACTTCATAGTTTGAATTGCTATTGATCTCAATATTGACAAAATTAGGTTTTAATGGAAGAACAATTCATTGCAGCAGTTATTATTACATCATTATATCACAATATTATTTATACTTTAAACAGCATTCTTTAAATTTCAGCAATGTGAATTAGAGCTAGAGACTTTAAATTTCAGCTTGTTATTTGGTCACTGAATAAAGATTTTTATGGAAATTAAAATATGGTATATTTTGGAGTCAAAGTATTATGTAAGAGATAAGGAAGCAAAAGCATGTGATTTTTTTTTCTATTTTAATTCTAACTGATCATGTGACATTTGGGAAGGTCATTTAATTTTCCTGAGATTCAGCTTGGGGGGAATTTAGAAACACAAAAAGTTATACATTCCCTTGCCTACATTCTAAGATTGTAGGGAAGATCAAATTTGACAATGCACATGAAAATCCTTTGCAACTTGCCCCTTAGTATAACATTGTGACATTATGTTACAAATTTTTCACATAATGAAATATCCTCCAGGAAATGCAATTTCTGGACATTACAGTAATTGATGAAGAAAGCATGTCTATTGCTGAAAGAACTCTATTCTGATTTATGTGGCAAAAATTTTTAAAAATAAGCAAGTTACCAAAGATGTAAATATTGGAATTAGCCCAATATTATTTGATTTTCTGGCCCCATAGAGGCTGTAATAACAGTGTGTGTGTGTTTACATAATTAAGTGCCAGTACTGTTATAAGAAACCCTAGTTAAGCCTCACAAACTTTGGATTCACCTACATTCCCCTTGTCAGAGTAATCACAATGTAATGAGTTAGGGTGGGTGAGACCCCAAAGTTCAGAGTCCTCACGAAATCAGGGAACTGAACTAAAATAAGCCTGAATGGATATGCTGCACTGACTGACGACCTTATTTGAGGAGGCGTCAATTTAACTTTAAACCCATGAGCTCATTTAGAGTAGGGGAGAGAAGGGGATGTCTCCTAATGCGGGGAACTGTTGCCATAGCATTTTCCTTCTCTATTACTGCCTACTCCTCCTTTCTCAAAGCAGCAACAATTTGTCTTCCACGGTTTTGTTTCAGGAAAGAGATGCATTTTCAGAAGGCAGACTCCAGTGATGTGATCACTACACCACCTAACTGTATCTGAGAGAGATATTGAATAAGTCTGAGGGTGTTATTAAGTTTCTCAGGACAGAATTATCTTTGCGGATGCTGTTGTAAAACAGGAAACGGACTCGGGGAGAATTTTAGCCCCCCTCCCCCAAATCCCATTGGTCCTCTGCACAAGCCAAATCACCAGAGTTCCTGCAACACAACGGATTCCTTTCAGCACCCTCATCTGTGGACAGCTCCCTCACCACGCGGTCCCTTCCTCTGCAGTGAGCCGACTCCAGTCTGCAACGGTTTGTGCGGCATCCGACACCTAGTCCAAGCCAGCGCTTGCAGAACACGCGCTCCTTCCCTCCTCCCTGTCGGTGCCCCCGCCCCTCGCTCACCCCGACTCACTCCAGCGGCGACTTTGAGGGATTCCCTCTCGGGTGGCCTCTGCAGCAGCACAGCTGGTCTCATTCGCTGCTCGGTGAGCATGGATCTCCGAGGAAGAGCCTTTTCCAGTGTGGACAGACTTCGAGTTCTCCTGATGCTGCTGCGTGAGTAGCGTTTTGGCATCCGCGAGGGCAGGGCACACTCTTTGCAGAGAATAGCCTCAGCATTGTAAAGTCAATAGCTTAAGGTCAAAATGTAACCTGTTTGTTTTGCGGGCTTTATCTTTGCGGGGGATGGGAGGGAGTGGTGGGAAGGAGGTTGGCTGCGATCCGGGAGCTGTGGGTCTTCCCGCCAGTGCTAGGGAATTCCCCAAAGAACCGCACACCTGTATAGCGTATCCCAGACAGAATGCCCTATGGGCCTGCTTCATGGGGTCAGAGCATTGACAAGCAAGATTTGGTTTAAATACCTAAGATAAAAGTCAACCGGGTTACAAATCAATAAGACTTTCAAATTAAATTTTAAATTTTTATTATAAATATACAGCAACGGAGTCGAATTTGTTGGCGCTGGGCTAGAGAAATGGGTCGCAGAGCGCACAGCAGTCGGCAAGGAACTTTGTCACCCCAAAATCTGCAGACCACGATCTCTCCACTCTTATGCCCCAGACGCGTGGGCTTGCTGAGCCCGGAACCGACAGAATTTTTTTTCCCCTCAGATACAATGGCTCGAATCATGGCAGAACAAGAAGTGGAAAATCTCTCAGGTCTTTCCACTAACCCTGAAAAAGATATATTTGTGGTGCGGGAAAACGGGACGACGTGTCTGATGGCAGAGTTTGCAGCCAAATTTATTGTTCCTTATGATGTGTGGGCCAGCAATTATGTCGATGTAAGGAACCTTTTCTCTCCCAGCTTGCTCCTAGGGCTCCAGGGGCGAAGGGCACCTCCCTCAATGCCCTGTGAAGACCTGGGTCGTCCACCTTCCCCCCTGCATCCCTGCAGGCTGCTCCTGAATGCTGCATGGGGGTTCCGGCTTGTAACACCTTCTGCTCGCTCTGCCTGCTTTGAAAGTAAACCCCCCTCTCTCTGCTTCCCTAACGGCGGGTCTGCACGTAGAGCATCTAACCGCATGTTCCGGGACCGGGAGCGCGCGCAAGCAAAGGAGGCCCAGGCGTGCAACGGGGAGTTTGGACACGCAGCCCTTTACAGCCCCCATCCGGGTTGGGCTGCTGAGGGGTACCGGGCGTCTGTGTTCCCAGCTGATCACGGAACAGGCTGATATCTCACTGACCCGGGGAGCTGAGGTGAAGGGCCACTGTGGCCACAACGAGTCGGAGCTGCAGGTGTTCTGGGTGGATCGCGCATACGCACTCAAAATGCTTTTTGTAAAGGTAACTGCAGTAGGGCCCTCAGAAGGAGGAGTAGAATCTGGGTGGGTGTGGGCGGAGGCAGCCCATCGGTGGTTTCCCCACCCAGAAGTCGTTGGGCTGTTGACACTTGCCTTCCTGCTCTGCAGGAGAGTCACAACACGTCCAAGGGACCTGAGGGGACCTGGAGGTTGAGCAAGGTCCAGTTTGTCTATGACTCCTCAGAGAAGACCCATTTTAAAGACGCAGTTACTGGTGAGTAGCAGTCAGTCTGGTTGGAGTGGGAGCCTGGGTAAGCACAGAAACAGCGGGAGTGCAGGCGCAGGCAGGACTCCCTCCAGAATTCCGCAGGGCTTTGGAAACCTATCCAGGCTTTGTGCTCTTAGGCCACTTTTGCCCTGGGCCTACTTTCTGGGTGGGGAAAGCGGAACACCTGTGAGTCCCTGAGTATCAGTTCTTGTAGATGTGCAAGGAAACATGAGTTCCAGGAGCAGCCTGTCACCCATGGCCTGATCCTGGATGAGACAGCTCTTGAGGGCCTATGTTTCCCTGACTGCTTCAGGACAGCCTCTTATGATTTGTCCTTAAAAGGGTCAGAGAAGGGCAAAACTGTATTTTTATTTTATTCTGCGTCTGTTATTTCTTCTCATGCGCCAAAATTCGGCAGTAGTAAGCTTTCCTTTTGGCCAGGCCCTGATGGCTTTCATTATCTTTTTGCGCATGGCAACTGGACTCACACGCAATCCTCAGTCATCACTGCAGTCACCCCAGAGCGGATTCTGAACCGTGTCCTAATTTAGTAGCTTTTCTTGCCCATCACTCCGACAACTCACCCAGATCCTCCAGCAACATCATGGCAAGAAGAACATCCATTTCCCAAATACCAATGTTCTTATCTGCAGGCACCTTGAAGCAGGGCAATTAAATTCATTTATTTATCTTGTAAATTGTCTGATTTATTCATAATGAGGCCTTGATCACAGGGCACCTGAATTGGGAAAAAAATTTTTTACTGAAAATACAAGAGTACATATCATCTCTCGCTTTACCCCTTATCATGGCAGTACCAAAAACATTTTCTCCTCTTTGTTATGATTCACATTCAAGCATTTCTCCCAGTCAAATTAGATTCCCCCTCCCCCAACAAAAAAGGAAAAATGATGGGAAAACAAACTTAAGCCAGAAAAAGGGGGAGGGGGCAGACCTCCAAAAAGAATATATGTGCACAGGTATCCACCCCAGAGCAATGCTTTTTGGGGGAAGACATTTTTATTCTTTTAAAAAAAAATTTTATTCTTTTGTAAAATATGAAAAATCAAGTCATTGTTCTGTGTCTTCAGAAACTCCATTTTAAGCTTTTTTTTTTTTTTTCACAGTACAAAGCATTGTGTTTTTAGGTCTCATTCTCCTCTTCCAAAAAGAAATTCCAAATTTCATAAACACCTACTCATAAAAGAATGAATGTGTTTGTCTTCCATCACCACTTGAGTTCCAGAGTTTTCAAGGCAACATGGCAAGGAAACCTAGGGAGGTGGGGAGGGGGTCTGGGGCTGAGAGGCAACTATGTGACATAGGACTTAGAGGCAGGGAGGGTTCTGCCAGTAAGCAGGGCCTAACCATTGCTTTGGGCCTTCCCTGCAGCTGGAAAGCACACCGCAAACTCCCACCATCTCTCTGCCTTGGTTACCCCAGCTGGGAAGTCCTACGAGTGTCAAGCTCAGCAGACCATTTCACTGGCCTCCAGCGATCCACAGAAGACAGTCACCATGATCCTGTCCGCAGTCCACATTCAGCCCTTTGATATCATCTCTGATTTTGTCTTCAGTGAAGGTAGGTTGGGGGTGGGGGGTGGAAGTGGAGAGAGAGGCGGGCAGGGCAGGCTGACTTCTGGATGCATGTGGAAGTGGTCCCAGGCTGTCACTAATTGGGTTTTGTCTAGGTTGAAGTGACACTGCCTCCCTCTGTGATGTTTTTCCAAGATTAAAAGCAGTGAAATGGGAATTGCATCAATATTCTTCAAGGGCTCTTTTTTTCTTCCTCTCTCCTTTCCCCTTCATTTCTTTCCCTTTTCTCTTCTCTCTCCCTCCCTCCTTCTCTCCCACCTTACTTTTTTATTTTTCCTTCCTCCTTTTTCTCCTCCCTTCCTTTATTTCTTCATGGTTCTCTTCCTTTGCCAAAGTAGGAACTCTAATAGGGAGAGAGATAAGAAAGTCAGCTTGGAAAAAAATAATTTTGATGCAAATTTCCAAGGGAAAAAAACAATCAAAAATCTCAGTTATGTAGAGAGATTTAATAGAAGAGCCTCTGATTTTCTGGTCTCAGTTTCTCCATGTTCTCTCAGTCACTTTCAGCTATAGATTCTATCCCCAAAAGTTACATATGTCAACTGAAGCTTTTGTGTGGCCAAATGCATTAGAGGTAGGTGTGTATGTGTATGTGTGTGTGTGTCTGTGTGTTTGTGTGTGTGTGTGTGTGTGTGTGAGAGAGAGAGAGAGAGAGAGAGAGAGACAGAAAAAGACTCAGGAAGGCAGCCTCCATCTAGCACTCACCCTTGTCGGGAGGGACATCCAGAAAGCCCCCAGGAGGCCAGGATCCTTGATCTATTTCCTGCAGGGAGGAAGCTGAGGAAGCTGCAGGAAGTTCATTCTAGCCCCTGTAAGGAGAGCAAGCAGAATTCAACTGGGGTGGGCTCAGGGCACCCACATTCTCTTGGTTTTCTATATTCCACCATGTTGGAGGGAGTTAGGAAAATTCACACTTCTGCAATTTCTCCAAGTCCAACAACAATTTTCACTGGGCAAGAGTGAGGCAAAAGAATTCCTCAATTCATTTGTTCTCTGCCTTGTCTGGAGAAAGTTGTGAAAGACTGTGTGATGTTCTGTTTATTTCATGTAGTTAAGAAATTAGGAGAGATTCCGATTGCTTTATGGCTGCCTTTTTTTGTCTGGGGAACCCAGGTGAATACAACTATTAGAATGTATACCATATTAGGGAATCCCTACTTGTGTCACTGACATCATTTCCCAGTGAACCTAGTTTTCAAAATGACTCTTCCACTCAAACTATACTGAATAGAATCTACCTCTCCTACCCCAAGTTATTCTGATGATGATTGAGATTCCTAAGTTAAACTGTCTTTGCGTAAAGGCCTACTTATTATGTTCATCTTGCATTTTTAGAACTTAATACAGTGCTTGGCCTATGGCAGATGTCCTGTTAATATTGGCTGAATTGATATTCTGAAGCTGTGTCCTCAATTAATTGAGACTTCCAAATGCTTAAGCACCAGGCAAATCAGAATTCAATATATTTAGGAAAGCAGTCCCATAATTACCTGTTCTCATGGAAGGATGCTATTGTATTTTAATTTATTTTCTACAAAATTGAAACTCAACTCTGTCAGGAACTTAGAAATTTCTGTAACGGAAATATAGTTAATGGATGTATTTATTATTTGTAATAGTCAGTATTTTTCTTAAACAGAAAATAGTAAAATATAAATAACTAAATGGAATTTGGCTTATGGTTGTTGATCAATAGGTATTCACTATGAAAATATTATTGGACTGTGCACAATTAGTTCCCAGAGTCCTAACTGTAGATACTTTAGAGTTTGCACAGGTATTTTCAATAGTCTTTAATTGGTCTTTGTTTTTTGCTGATCAGATGTTCTTAGGTATCTTATTTCTTGGTAAAACCGGTGTTATAGTTGCTGTTTTTACTATTTCCTTAGCACAACTTCACCCTAACCCTGGGTTATTTCCAAATTGTTGCTTAGAGTCATTTATGGACTAAGAAATCAAATCTCATAAATTCTTAGAATTGGGTTAAAAAATATGAGTAATTACTGAATAAGGACCAGGGTTACTTTTTTAGAAATTAGTTAGGTTCACAACATGGACTTAATGACCTCTTTTATTTGAAAAGCAGCATTTATACATTTCCAGGTCCTAGATGGAGCAATTGCTGGGTAGACAGAGCTTATAAGGGCGTATCCCTTCTTAAATGCATATATGTTCAGCACAAGCAAATTGCACTTGTCTCACTCAGGCTTTTCTGGGTAATAATTAGAATGTTCTCTGCAGTATGGAGTCCTAGAGCTCAAGCCTTGAGGCTCCTGGGAGGGGACAAGCCTCATTCAGAATCACTCACTGGATCGAATTGCCTTTGTGAGTCTGGGAGTCTTTTGTTTCTGGCTCCTCCTATCTGTGCTTCTCAGCACCTGCCTCCCACTGTGTCTTATAAGACATCATTTTATTTGACTTGGTGGAATCCAAAACATCCATTTAGGTATGCTTTTCCAGGGCCAGCACTCAGCCTCTATTCCCCAGAATAGATCCTCAGGAGGCTCTGGATGTGTTGCTGATACCTGGGTGGGTGTGATTTGAGCATGAGAACTTGGAGAAGGCAGGATCTGGTCAGATAATTGCATGCCCACTGCAGGGGTGTGTGCATGGGCTGGGTCCTGTGTGGGTGTATTTGGACCATGGCTGTGATCCAGCAGGATCCGCAGCATAAGGGAATCCAACGAAGAACCTATTCGCTGTGTAAAAGATGATGCCGGCTGTCTGCAGTTTAGCGGCTGCCTACCTAATAGACTCTGAGAACAGCTAGGAAGTGTCCATGAAATGAATTAATGGACATTCACAGGGGCTCAGAGTAGCCCAAATGGGGGTTGATATCTTTATTATGCAAATCCCTGTGGTAATGCACTGGACTGGACTACTGCACTACCCCCCAACACAAGTCTGTTACCCCATTACATTTCTGTTATGCCAACACATCTCCAACTGTGGTGTATATGTGAATTTTCAGCTGCAGTGTGCACAACCATGATGTGTTAACATAGAGTCTGGTCCAGTAGATCTGGAGTTGAGGTTCAGGATCCTCCATTTCTAGCAAGCACCCTGGTGGGCGATGCCGCTGGTCCATGGTCTAGGGGCTTCCAGGGATTTAGAGCTGATCAAAGAAAACATATGATCATCAGACACCATAACATAGCACATGCTTTACTTGTTGGTGGTTGGCCAGGTTTGCATGAGAAGGGAAGTTTTTCACAGTCCACGGGGAGGCTTAGGTTGCCTCAGGACCACCACCAGAAAAGATGGAGAGCAAGGGCCCTCCTGGCAAGAGGGGCTGGAGAGAGGTCTTACCTGAATACTGATATCATTGGAATCTCTCAGTCAGAAAGCACTGAGAGGCTGCAGTGGTTGAGGGAGAGGAGAGCGGTGCTTTTAACTACAAAGTGCTTTCTTATCAATGGGTAACTGCTATTGGTATCAAAGCAGGCAGGCACTAAATGGCTGAAATTATGCTCATTTGAACTATTTGAATCATTGGAGAGGTAAAAATTTGAGTTTAGAGCTAGCAGGCCTTTGAGCTAAAAGGTCCTAGCCGACAGTGGCAGAAAGTAGGGAAGTGAGGATAGAAGGCAAGAAAGACAGTGCAGACCATTAATGAACAGGTTACCATTGTGGGCACCTGGGGCTTGCACTGCTGGCATCTTTGGAGGGTGGGGAGCCTAGAAGGCAATACAGATATCCCACCTAAAGTGTAGGGAAACTGGCATTTATTTGCCACCTCCATCCTGCTGCGGTGGGGGAGTGGGGGTATTGAATCTCTGGAGTTTCCAACATGTCTTGTGGTCAGAACAAATCCACTGGACTATACGGGAAGGGTGAATGTTAAGGGCAGGAGGACAAGACACTGCCAGTGTCTGTTCCATCTAGGGTCTGGTCTGTTTGAACTTTCCCTCTCCTGGTGGAGCTTATAGTCTACTGGGAAAGAGTATATATAACTCTCTCTTGTGCATGCCATGTCCCTGGAGTACAGTGGTAACAATCAATACTTGTTTTCTTGTTTTTAAAATCTTTTTTTTTTTTTTTGTGAGTGCTTACATCTCGGTGAGACAATCTGCTTGATTCCAGCCAAAGAGCTCAAAAACCCATTCATTTCAATACAAAACACGTTTTGCCGATCTTATTAAAGTTCAAAGCCAACCCATAGAAAAGTATGGGGGGAAAAGGCAAACCCTTCCTTCTAGCGCCCCATCAGGCAGTGGAGAGAAACACAATCAATAAAAGGCTTGTTCTCTCCCAACAGAAAAGTCTGTGGCTCTAGCAGAGCTTGAGAGAGTAGACAGCTTCCCTTTTGGCGGGTAGTACCCATCTCAAAGCTGTTCATTTGGGGGTGTAATGAAGAGCCCTGGCAGTTTGTTTTAGGGAATAAATACAACTTTAAAATGCTATAGTCCTCAAACTAACCAAAGCAAAACAAAATAAAATAAAACACAGAAGTAGAAAACACATCCTGGTGTCAGTGAGGATTTGTGGGTTCTAGACGGGACCTTAATTGGCAACTGGCAGGTGGCAGGTTGTCTGATGTGTCTTGATCTGATTCTTTCCAATGACTAAGCTGGTTGTGGCATTTTACAACCATTGGAAACCACCCTGTTTTTTTTTGTTTTGTTTTGTTTTGTTTTGTTTTGTTTTGTTTTGTTTTTATGCCTTCTAGAATCCTGAGTCCAGTCAGGGAAGAGGCATGAAGAACCCGAAGTTCTGTGTTGGTGGATAGGAAGTTAGGGGTCTCAGAGCATCCAGAACCAGATGCTTAGCTGCTGTAATGCAAGGATGTGTTTCTCTCTTGCAAAGATGTAGGGTCCTCCTTGTTTTATAATCTGTGTTTTATATAATCAGTTTATTGCATGGCATTTTGAAGTCCAGAACTCTGGAGTCTATAAGTTTATGGATAGAATTCAGGATGCCTATAAATTTCCATGGGAAAAACTTGTATCTTTATTTGCTCTGATTACTAATTAATGCATTAACATT